GCATGAGCCGTACATCATAATCGGCGAGAATAACAGGCATTGAACCTCCAGCACGGCGCCATAACGCGAAAGCCCACTCCAAAAAACCGCCACCGATCAGCATCGAGGACTATCTTGCGCGTTTACACCGGTTTTGTCCCATGAGTACCGCGGTGTACCTGGCTACAAGCCTGTACATCCATCGTCTCGCGGTCGATGAACGAGCGATACCTGTGACACGTAGGAATTGCCACAGGTTAGTTCTCGCGGGATTGCGCGTCGCCATGAAGGCGCTCGAAGACCTCAGCTATGCGCACGGCAAGATGGCCAAGGTTGGTGGCGTCAGCGAAGTCGAATTGGCCCGATTGGAAATCAGCTTTTGCTTTCTGGCCAATTTCGAACTGGTTGTCAGAGAGGACGCGTTGCAGAAGCACGCTGATGTGCTCCGAGAGGGAACATCGTTCCATGTCCTTCGCCAGGGCGTTCCGACCCTGACGCTCAACCGAAGGCCCAAGGAAAGAGTACTCACCGCCGAGGGCAAAGAGAATGAAGTAAAGTAAAGAGAGCCCTGCGAATCACCGTTGACTTCTCATTGGTGCACTTGTCGGTTGTTTAGTGGCATAATGGTCGCCGCCATGGCACTCGCTGCATTCTCGCATGAAGCGAAATGGCGTTGGCCGCGTGAGGGGCCCACTAGGTCGGTGGGGATATCTAGTTCTTTATGCATTTCGATACCCGGCGTTGGGCACATTTGCTTCGATCTCGCGTTGCCAACATGCTGGCAGCCGGCAAACTGTTTGCATAGCATAGCATTGCCTCGGTCATTGTATAGCCAGGTTAGCAATAACATTTGAGGCTTCCGTACATGTCGGCGACGTGAATGAAATTGGAAAAGACATGGCAAGCACTGTATTTGGCATGATAGGGTCGATGTGTCATCTTGACCTCATATATATGGCTCTTCTCAACCCTTTTTAGATACACACGTAAAAGTCTTCCTGTGCCGATAGTTCAAACTGGACG